AGTGGAGTTTAAATATTGGTTTCAGATAATTCCCTCTGTTTCGGGCATTAAATTCAAATGTTCAAATTTTGACTCATACATGATTCGTTTTTTAATCGCAAACTTACTATCAGTTAAGACTGGAGATAAAAAGAGCAGATACAGTTAGGCTTAGGAGTCAATACTGGGTTGTTCGTTGCGAACAATTAACGTATTATTGCCCCAAACCTTAGTTTCTGAATTATAATTCTAATCGACATTTAGACATTGAATAATACTGCGCAAAGGAATCTAAAATTTTACTTCAAAGGTGGATCCGTGTTTGATACAGGATTAGTTTCTCAAAAATTCAGTTTCCTAACTTTCCCAGTCTAGATGCTGATGTGTCTGGGTAAGATGGATTACACTCCCACGCACGTACACATCAGTACACATCTACACACACACACGCACACACACACGCACACACACACACACACACATACACACACACACACACGCATGCATATACACACAAACATTTACCACAGACGTGAGCTTGTTCCATTGCATTTTTGCGCAAATCAATTACGCAAAATTACACAACCCAGGCTAGAACGAACCAGTCGGGCCGGTGCGATCATGCGTTTGTGCATTTGTCGTTCTGTCGCAAGATTTCAAGGAATCACATAGCTAGTCCCCCTTGAAATTAGGGAAGTTAATTGTGCAGGTGTGCACCATGTCAGTTGCGGTTGTCGACTTCAGTGAACCGACAAATAGAAAGTTGTTGTTCCGCGAAAAAGGTTAGAAGAGTTAAATTTGAAATCTTTTAGTTGCACATGAGTAGGAAATATTCCCTTAAAATTAAAGCCTTCCAGCTTTTCTCATTCCCGAGTTAGCAGCTTTCCCACCAAAATTTTCATGTTTCTATACGCCAGTTCCAGGCAGTTCTACAGAGCTGAATTTGAAATCTTCTGGTCATACATGAATAGGAGACAATCCCCTAAAGTTCCAGCTTTCTGGACTTCCTCGTCCCCGAATTAGTGATTTTTCCGCCAAAACTTTCACGTGGTCATACACGCCGCCCAGGCGTGTGTGAGAGTTGGTACAGCGGCCCTGGGAACACACAAGTACAACTTCAGCTTCAAAGCTTGCGTGGTTAGGGAGTTGAAATACAAACACACACCCACACATACAAGCATACATACACTAACAGCGTCATTGCAATATGCATTTTTGTAGCCCACTGCAGCGCCCG